TTTTACAACTTTTTTGCCACAGTGGTTAAATGAATCACTGTGGTTGTTAAGTTAGTAACACATTTGTTAAGTGAATCTGGCTTCCCCTTTGACTTTGCTTGTCAGAAGGTTGCAAAAGGTGATTGCATGACCCCAGGACACTGCCATCGTCATAAACATGAGTCGGTTGTCAAGCATCTGAATTTTGATCACATGACCATAGGGATGCTGCAGTACTCGAAAGGGTGAAAAACAGCCATAAGTCACTTTTTCCCCTGCTGTTGTAACTTCATTCACCAAATGAACTGTTGTAAGTTGAGGACTACCTGTACTCTCAATTTCCTGGCCATTGGTAAAAGGTTTTAATTTTAATCTCATTCATTCACATGGAAAACGCTCTGCTTCTCTTTGGACCTGCCTTGCATTTGGCATCTGTTCATCCATGTCTTCAAGACAAAAACAAAAAATTCCTGACAAGATTCCTATGAGTCAATGTTTGAATAATAAAGCAATATAACTCTAGGCCTGATTGCAACATTCCAGAGCAGCTAGAGCAGAGGTGGGGAAGATAGCTCCTTTAGGACTTGTGGACTTCAACTCCCAGAATTCCCGAATTAACAGAATAACAGAGTTGTAAGGGACCTTGGAGGTCTTCTAGTCCAACTCCCTTATCAGACAGGAAACGCTATACCATGGGTGTCAAACTTGCGGTGTCACGTTGCCATCATGTGACATTTCTTGACGTTTTTCCCATTTGCGGAGCTGTGTTGGGTGTGGCCTGGGTGTGACTCATCCAGCCTGTGGGCTGCAGTTTAACACCCCTGCCCAATACCATTTCGGACAAATGGTTGTCCAATCTCTTCTTTAAAACTTCCAGTTTTAGAGCATTCACAACTTCTGGAGGCAAGTTGTTTCACTGATTAATTGTTCTAACTGAACATGAATTTTCTCCTTAGTTCTAGGTTGCTTCTCTCCTTGATTAGTTTCCATCCATTGTTTCTTGTCCAATTCTGTGAGCTGATATCCACAAGTCATAAAAGGACCATTTGTTCCCTGACCCTGATGTAGAGGAAGCATAGCATTTTAGATTAGATTGGTCTTTCTGATGCAAAAGGCTGACTGCTTGTTTATATTTCTTCTTTGTTTTGTAGGTGGTCCTGGTACATGTGGGTGTGACGTCTCTCATTGCCCATGTCAGAGTGGGAAAAATGCAGGCTGCTTTAGAGGCCCAAACAATAGTGTTCCCTGCAGTAGGTATGCACCAAATTTAGCCAAAGTTGCTACAGAGACCTACGTATCTGAGGAATTGGACTAAGGCAGGAAAATGGTGAAACAAATGTGGTGATATATGTGTCTGATTCTTATGAAAGGATGAAGCTTGCATCATGACACACCTTTCATTCTTTTGAAGTCATTACAGTGATGGGTTGCAGGCAGTACACCCCAGTACGGGCATACCGGAGCCTACCCGGAGCACCGGGTAGTCCACCCACCCGCCCGAGCTCCTTACCTGTCCTTTAAGCCTTTGGCGCTTCTCTGCATGCGCATGGCGCATATGGCCCCTGCGCAATACTCCACAGCTGGAGCGTCGTGGAGGCTTGCGGAGGCATCACAGGCAGGTATGATGTTTGCACGCGCTGTGTGCAAGAGCCAAGGTGGCGCAGTGGTTAAATGCAGCACTGCAGGCTACTGCTAGATCAGCAGTCTGGGTGCCCTGAATGAGGGCAAGCTTAATTTTCAGAAGGATGCTTTGGAAAC